AAAAGAATTCCCACAGCAGCATCTGTTTAGCAAGGGAAAGCAGCTGTTGGAAACTCTGCAGAACCTTACCTGTGGGGTTGTTCCAATGTTACCATGAAACTTTAACTGTGTAGTCTTAATGATTCTTTATTAAATTTCTTTCCATGATACACATAATCATGTATGCAATATATAAAAGGTACGTATAATCAGGGTCACTTAAAAGATTTAATTGGATTGCCATTTGAAAATATTTGTACTATTTAATAATGTAAATTAATCTATCTGAGATTCTAGAAAATGTTTACTTTTTTGGTTTTACTTTTGAGTATCTGCATATGGCATGTTTTGCTTTTTTTTTTCCCCAAAGACCAGACATATGTCTCATCACGTGAGCAATCTGAGAATGTCATGTCTTTCCACTGTGCTTGTGAAGGTCACAGGCCTCCTCCGTGCCTTCGAAGAGGGTGCTCACTAGCACTAGCCAGCAGGATTGAACCTTGAAACTAAGCAGATACAGGGAAACACTAAGTGAGAAGGGAAATGAATTCTCATAGGGAAGAGGGAAAATAGTAGGGCTGAAATGTTTTGATATTGTTGCTTTTGTACTTAGCTCCAGACCTACTTTGAAATAACAGCAAGGATGTGAAATAACTTTTCATGCTTAAAAGAGAAAACAAAAGCAAGACTTACAGAAAGCGTTGAGAAAGCAGTGATCTGCTAGAAAAATCAATTTTATAAAATGAGTCATTTAAAAAGTCACCCTTTACTGTGCCTGTAAATACATCTACAGTCTGCACTGATCTTGTAATAAATGTAAACACAGTTTTATACATCGCAAAATTCTGACCCAGCTGTTCCACTGTGACCAGGCTTCAGCAAAATGTCTTTCATGGTTCAACTGGATGGCTTTGGTGTTTAGTGGAGAAAAAATTTCAAATAAGACCTAAAATACAGTTTTTGAAGAATTTCTGCTTAGTATGAAATGGGTATGTGCTGTTGAGTATGTGCCTGATCTGTTAGTTCTTAGGTAAATGTGTGAGGTTTTGCAGAACTAGAACCTTTTGATACAGAAAGGAAGAAGAGCTAGAACCAACAGAACCAGATTCCCTTTCTCTTAAAATTGTGTTGATCCCGTTTGTGTCAGATAAGTATATTTTTGTCACTACAATTTTTCATTTTGTTACTATCCCTTATCTATTTAGAGTCTGTCTTTGCTGTGGTTTATGTCAAAGTTCTCTTCTGAATGGTGCATAGTATTTAACATAGCAGAGAACCTGGAGGACTTTGGGTCAAGACCCTGTTGTGCTAGGTGCTGCTTAAGGATTTTGAATAAACACGTCCCTGTCCCAAAGACCTCACACTTCCTTTTTTGCTTTAAAGAGGCTGAACCCCTTTTAGGGAAAGGGGAAATAGTGTCACTGTGCAGCTCTTCTCTGTTAGAGCAGCAGGGCTAGTCATTTAATACCTTGATTTACAACAGTGTTGTAATCTAAATAGGAAGCAGGTGGAGTTACAACTGGGTACGATACTTTGGATATTAATGGCTTGGCTTGGCAGTGGAATTCTAAAGCTGTATATACTTTTTCTGTCTTAATTATGCATTCATTAAAAGCTTTTATACCCAACAGAATAAAGTAAATATTGTTTGATCTCTGTAGTGTGCTCCCAGACTGTAGATTTGCACAGCAGGGTCTTGATAATCTGAATAAATTGTATTTCCCCAAGGAGTTTATCTTTCAAATAAGGTCATAAAGAAATGCATTCTTTCCCCTTAGTTCTCCTTGTGCTTTTTCTGCTATTTATAACGTGGAGCAGAGGAACAGAAGTATATTGTAGTCTGCTGTGTACTTGGTTATGATTAACTCTAATTTATCAATCTGTTATTTACATCCTTTTCTGTGGCTTGTGCAAGGCAATTATTCTTTAAAGTACAAACGAATAAAGATGGATTTGGAAGTAATTTAAATACAATGTTTATATCTATTATTGCTGTTTGACAATTTATCATATCTCTATATTAAAATACACCTCCATATTAAAACACGGACAGTGTCACATCATTTATTTTGAATATTTAATATTGTCGACTTTCAGATTATGTTTGTTTGGAGAACTGATTTTCTTTTACGAGGGTTTTAAATGTCAACTCGTTGTTAAATTGGTTTGACATCTAAAGGTTGATACTACTAAATCAAAAGACCAGTAGTGTAGAACAATGGATTCTCTTAGTTGGGAGAGCGGGGAAGCGGGGGGATGTATAGTAAGTAGCATGCATAGGATCAAAGATAGTTTCTCATTTTAGAAGTAGACACTGACAAACAATTGGCCAATTTATTAAATTGGTTTGAATTTACTGTGAGACTTTACAACTATTTCAACTGTTGGTTGTAAGATCTGTATATATAATCTTATACATATTTTCTTAGTCAGAATGTGTTTTGGCAGTGTAACATACATCATATTAGAAGAGATAGGATCACTACCTTTCCCTAATTCTCTTCAGCTCTTAGTGACAGTTCTGCTTGTGTTCATATTTCATCCTTCAGTTCAAAAAAGATAAGAGGCATATATTTAAAAGTTTATAAAAACAAGATTAAAAGTTTCAGTAATTTACGTAAGCCTGTTTTGTATTGTATGTTTTTAAAGAACGTATACTGCGATACAGTACCGGAAGAAAGTATATTTGGTCTCTTTGACTGTATGACAGCTTTCATAAAAAAACTTCAATTGGAGTTGATTTGGAGGGGATAGGGGAGTTTGGGGGATCATCAAAAATACCCAAACCAAAATTGAAGGCTTACCAGTGCCTTTCAGACTTCACTGAAAATGTGAAGATTTTTCAGGGGAAAACTGCATTTGTGTGTCATATTACTGTTTCTCTCTAACGAGGAAAGATTTTGTTATGGTATCTCCAGTATCGTCCACTTCAGAAGAATGTCCACCAAAAGCCATCTGTCCTTCTCCATTGACGCTTAGTGGGGTTTGATCAGGCCTGTATTTTAGTTGGGCTGTTGATCCTCAGATCACAATGCTTGATTGTTTATTTGTTTATTTTAATCCTCCCCAGATATAGCTGTTGACTACAAAAGAGTTCAATAAAAATACACTGAGCTCTTCTAAATTTCTTTCCGGATGTTTGACATTCATTCAGTTAGGGAGTTCTTTGAAAAGATAGTCTTCCAAACCAGGGACAATAAACCACAGCATTTGACAAGCAACAACCATGATGCGTAGTTGGATTATACTCCTATGCGTTGTTGCCACCGCTGCATGGCCATCACAGAAATGGTGGTGTGAGGTACCATCTGTGATCTGCAGATATGAAATCACCGAGCAAGCACACAGACCAGATACTTCTCATGTAAAATTCATTCCTTTCTCTTTCTTTCTGCAATTGGGGAGGATTTATCCTTACCTCCTCTATGTTAGCGTGAAGAGGAACTGACGCTAGCGTATCTGCGGCTTTTGGGATGATGGCTGTTGGTGCTCGTTCTGGCAACGTAAAGAACGTTTCTTTGTTCTTCCAAGAAAAGAACGTGAAACTCCTATGCAGCGGTTTAAGCAGATAATGAATAGGATTTATCTGTAACGTACAAGCCTGCCAGGGAAGGTGCGCTGCTCAGACTGGGAGATTATGTAACAAGCAGGAGCCTCCACAGGAATTTGATTCCGTTTCCTCCAGTACTGACTCCTCTAAGCAGGTGAAAAAAATTCTTTCTCCACTCTCCATTGCATATGCATAAACAGCTCCACAGTCATTGGGACAGCCACCCAATTCACACGTTCAAGATGTAGTCCATAAAACATTCCAAAAAAACCCCTCTTCGCACTTTCCCATCTTCCCTGTTGCTCTGCTCTATCTGCCAGCCGTGCAGCTCATTTGACATTTACAAGATTTCTTGTCAGTTTCATTTGGTGCTGCCATTCCATCCAGCAGAGCAGTGAAAGTGAAATTGACTTAATTTAGTCTGTTTCTCTTTCCTGCTCTAGTCCCTGCGTTAACTAACCAGCAAAGTGAAACTGACAAGACTTCTTGTCATTTTCACACGTGGAGCTGGTCAAGGAGAAGGCGGCCGATGGGGAGCAATGCGGTAAATTGGAAGATGAAAACCAGGATTGCGGAGGGGAGAGGAAGAGAAGTGTGAGCATGCAGCAAGAACAGAGAAAACGGGTAAACGTGCTTAATTCCCAGACGTCCTGGGCGCTTTTCTCTAATACGGATGAATTCTTGGCCTCACCCCTGAAGAGAGCGTATGGTCTAGAATAGCAGCAGTTAGCTGTCCAGACACGAATTTGCAAGGGATGCCAAGTTGAAAACATTAGCCTGTAAATATAGGTTATCTGTTACCAGGATGGAAAAACCTTCCTGCACTGAGTTACTGTAGCTTTTGTCTCCGCAGATTTTCTGCTGCTAGAAGGAGGGGGAGAAAGAATACGAGGCCAACATCCACTATAGGTTGATGTCAGTGATTGGAAAAAAAGGGCCTATTTGTTCATTGAAGATAAATTTATATGTAATAAAATGTAGCTCAGCATCTCGTATTTTGTGAGGTTTCATGGAACTAAAAGTCGTTCTGCACAGGTGCTCTAGCTCGATCAAAACAATAAATAATGAACAAACAATTGCTTTGTAACAAACCGTTGTAGTTAACAAATACATTTTTTAATCCACTTGTTAACTCCTGCGAGCTCTTGTCATACGGTGTAGATCATACTGTTTTATTATTTTATGTACTAATCTGTATTTCTTACAGATGCTGTATGCATATATAACCTTAGCAGTTGTAATATAAATTAGTACCATCATATATATTTGCATATGCACAGGTAACATTTACACATACATTTTGAATGAGGCTGTGTTAATTAATTTCAAGTTATATTACCTTCCTTCTCCACAGCTCCAAATGAACAACCTTTTTTCATTATCTGAGACCTGTGCGGTTTTTTGTTCTCTGTTTTATGGTTGGTTTGTGTTTTTTTTTCTGAGACGTATTTTGTTTGCTTCACCCATTTAGGAATTAAATAGTTTCAATTACTTGGACCTGTATAAACTTGCGGACCTCTTCAACCTCACTTTGTTGGAGAATGCAGTGGTTGACTTCTTAGTAAAACATCTCTCTGAGCTATTGAAGAGTCATCCTGAAGAAGTTCTGGCACTCCCATACTGTCTCCTTCGAGAGGTTTTTAAAAGCGATAGACTCACTTCACTCAGTGAAGAACAAATCTGGCAGGTAAGGAGATTGGTGAACAAGCAGAATGTGTGATACTCTATAAACCACAGCAGTAATCTGTTGTTTTGAAACCCTGGAGCAATCTCGAGGGAGAATAAGCGCTTGAGCAAAAACTGTGAATAACAACTGAGGGAAATTTTTAAATGAAATTCAAAAAATGTTGTGTTGTGTTAATGCAATTAGTTTGTTTGAAAGAGAAATTTGTCTTACTGCTTAACTTGTGTTACTCAGACGTGGCCAGAGATTTTCTTCCAGATCCAACTTTGTTGGTGGGAAGAGATGTCCAATACATGCAACTCAGTTATCATTGCCTCTGGTGAGGCTAGTGCCACAAGTCTGGCAGCAAACCTGCTTCTGCAGTCTCTCCCATTCACTTCAGGCAAACTTAGCTGTGTAACTTCAGTAGTCATTTAAATTGTCTAGGCCACCACAGCTGACTTTGCCTGAAGCAAATTAGCGAATCGTCACACATGCTGCTCTGCTCAGAGATGAGTGGAGGCATCGGTGGAAGGTTTGTGGCAAGAAGCTGGAGGTGGTGATCATTTCTTTTAAAAGAGCTGGCTTTAGAAAAGGACCAGGTTGCTAGCCATAGAATATTAACAAGATAAAAGCATTATGTTGTGAACTTTAGTGGGGGTGGGAAACCTAATATGAAAAAAAACACATAGCCTGTAAAGAGAAACACAAAAACTAAACCAAAATCTGTCCTTGGAAACATTCCCATCATATGTCTGTAAAAATCGCAGTTCACGATATAGTAGAAGGAAATATCTGTAACACTGGTTACCCAAACACTTCTTTCTGTTTCCTTTTTGCTGTCATGTTTTATAGAAGGAAAGTATTTCAGCATATTTCAAGGTAGAATGTAACTTCCTAAAAAGAAAGCACAGGTTTCCTTCAAGCAAGTGGGTTATCTTGGTCCAACAGAGAAGACTGAGAGTCAGAAGATTGATTCATATTTCAGTCCCTGTTATTTATCTACTTATCTTTTGGATTATTCTAAGCAAATCATTTCATCTATATGCCATCGTTTTCTCAAAGTGTAAAATGTGTGTTTGTCTGTGGGGCACTTCATGTTCTGTAGATGAATAACATCATGCCGGAACGAAATATTTATTCTTAAAAAATAAGAATGTCTAGTTAAGCTCTTCAAACCACAGAGACAGTATGCAGGTGTAACTTAACCCTTCACTCTGATAACTGGCATATTTGTTCCGAAACTTTGAGGCTTTAGATTATGGAGTATTTTACAAAGATGATATTTTCTGCAAATATTAATATAAGGTGAGACTCTTGCCTGTCCTAGTCTCTGGAGGATGTCTGTACTACAACAGAACCTGCAGCACACTACCCATGATGGTGGGTTTGGTTTGGGTTTTTTTAGGCATGATACTCTGGAGTCCCAGCCCACATTCCCTTTATCAGAAAAGGTTTTAATGTACGAGTTCATATATGGGGCATGGCTGATTGCCCAATTGGGTTTTATCATAATTTCTCTGCAGGGTTAGTGAAATCTCCTAGCTACATGCTTGGGTATACTTTTGCTAGAAAAGTTGCTACAGAAAGCCACAGAAGTATTATTTAATGCCAGCTCAGTAATGAACAAGCATATACAGAGTAATACGCCCTATGCAACCTGCTGAAACAAAGTTTGGGAAGTGGGAGTTCTTAAATCTTGTGTCATTGTCCTGTCCTGCAGGAAGAACTCAGATATCATTTTCTTACTTGTGTGCACTCCGGTCAATGAACACTTCATGAGGCAAATATGACAAAGGTTCTGTTTCTGTTGCAGGGTCACACTGAGGAGAGATACTTATAGGTAATATGCTGCTTTTTGAGTGACAACAAACTCCACACTGTCCATTTAAGTGTTATCATAATTGCCTCTCTAAAGGTTACTAATGCCGTTCGGAAGAATTTTTTTAAACTAGTTTTCTGCTGCAGGCAAAATGTGCACGTGTCTTTTTAATTCAGTCTGTACAACCAGGAATAAATATATATTTATAAATATTCTGGGTCCCCAGAATGAATTAAAAGACACACATAAATATTTACCGATTTAGGTATTCAGAAGGCAATAAGAAACTGGTTTTTTGCTTTATCTTAGTAAATAAGTAATTCCCTCATAGTCAACCCAATAGAAGAAAATCAAATCAGACCAGCTATATTGCCTCAAGTGTAGTTAAGTTCATCATTTTTGCTAAGGTTATAGTGGTAATGCAATATACCATGGAAGAATCTAATATTCAGCCCAGGGTGAAGATTGGGTATGCCAGAGGATTAGTGTCAGGGTGCTTTATAGAAGTGAAACTTGATGGACAGGCTGGAGACAGATCTACAGAATCTCATTAAATTGCTGAATTGTTCATTACTGAGCACTCTCACTGTAATAAAGTGCTCATTGACTTTGACAAATCCCCATCCCATGTCTTAAGGAAGAACAGCAAAGCAAGAGGTGTTGGGGAAGCTGGAGGAAATTGGCACAAAGTGGGGCAGATAATAGAAAAGCTGGTGGGGGATGCTACCGTTTGATTTGTCTGTCTTACCTGTGACTAGTGTGGCCTCCTGCGCACACACATGCATGCGTGTTATGGCAATACAAATTCAGCATGTCCCCAAGGCACCTTTACTTGTAGGGCTCCCATAAAGCCCTAAGCACAAATTAAAGCTTCCCTCAGAGAACCTCTGGAAAGTGTGCCACTGTCTGCAGAGCACAGTTATTTTCACTAGTTTAAATTCCCAGTGTCCATTGGACGATTCAATCCTCATGCACATAAAGATCAAGGCAGTTATTTTAATGTGTCAAAATGTGTACGCAGACTGATGCTTGAATGTGGTTTAAACTGACGTGACTGCAGCTCATATCTGGCACATTTTGGATTTTTGTTAGACTACCAGTTCACAGTTGCCCAATTTTAGTGAACATGGTGAAATATAACCTTGAACAAACCCAAGTTTGAGAAACTTAAACAGTAATATTAATGTCAGTGTACTAGGATGTGGATTAATGTAAAGTACTACAGTAATTCCTGTTGATTCTTTCAGAAAGAAAAATGTGACTTCCAAACCAGGGTGAAGTGGACAAACTAAGTCGTTCATTCCTCTTTCTACCTCCTAAAATCTTAGGAAACTCTTTGGCCTAATGTAGGTGTCTTATTTTTAGTGGAGACAATAGACAAGGAATATAATGATGTATTTCTTAAAACAAATAAACAACAAAAAGAAAGCCCACCAGAAAACCTCTGTAGGCTGTGCAATTGAAGCAATTTACTAGCCTCCATCATTAGGGGTTTTTTTTGGCTAGGCTAAGCCAGTAACAATGATTATTAGGTGACATAGGATTTGTTTTCATACTGATTTTTTACATTTTGCTAGCATGTGAGATTATGAAATATTATTTTGTATATACGAAATTTATGATTTGTCAGCTGCATTAAAATGTGAGTAAACTTAAAGCAGTGACATGGAAGAAAGGGTTAAATAAAAAATGAAGAAAACCAGGGAAGAATCCTGAAGAAGCTGGAGGAGAAAAAGCAAATTCTTTGGTATTTTTCCTCTTCATCATGAGCTGTGCAGCACGCTTTTTTTCACAGGAAACGGTCATGATGAGGACATAAATGTCTAGTTTATCATGAAGTGAAAAGTGAATCTTTTTGTAATTGGCCATTATTAGAAAGGCTCATTGGCTCTACTTTAAGGAAGCAGATGAATTCTTTCCCTTGATAATTGAAAAGGTAACCAACCCTATATGACAGAACGTGTTCTCAGAGAAATCTAGCAGTAGAGGGCTTCTTGTTGGAACCATAGCAAGTAGAAAGCAAGCCAAAGATTAAAGTAATAAACTGATGTTAGCCTTAGTTGTAGTATAGTTATGCCTTATCATATTCATTATTAAAAACTTCAGTGTTATGAGGCTTAAATGTTCATATTTCAAGGATCATACTAATAGTTACAGATAGAAATATCTACTGGGTCATTCTGTCTCCCAGCAATACATTGGTCAAATGATACTGTATTAAATACTGCACCTGATCCAAGGTGAACTCTGGAATCAGCTTTGGCAAAAAAATCTTAACATGAGATCAGTATAGATTAGTTTCTTCCTTCTTTCCTACTGGTTAAGTAGGTTGTTAAAGGATATATATTTTTTAAACAGCTAACATTAAAAATAGATCAATTTTAGTATTTGCCAATATTTCTTTTGAAGTTAAGGTTAGGAGTTTTTTCTTGTTTTTTTTTCCTTTGCCATGCAACTCATTTTCTTGGTAATCAACGGATAAGCAAGCAATCTAGGAAAAATTGGCAGAGTACTACTCTACCTGCATGAGTACTGCATGAGTAGTTTATTCAGCTAGAAAGCATGCAACTATGTTGTGTCTTTTCCAGGGCTAGGCTCCCAAGACATTCCAGCCCTGTTAACTTCCTTGTGTGCAACTTGTGAACTTGTGTTCATAAAGCAGATGTTCCACGTATGAAAGTCTAGCACAAGTTATTCCTTTTGTTACTGTGGATGTGATGTGCAAAATCGGTCTTTGGTCTCTGTATTAGAGACGTGTCTTTGTGTGAATAAATAGAAGAACAGAAGACAGGAAGACTACAATGTTACAGGTCAATATGAGTTGTTAAGCATCTGTTTTATAAAAATAATACATGTATAAATCCAATTTTCTTAATTACAGTCCTGTTTATCCTTTTCTAAGGGAGAGTAAAGTGGTCTATTTTCAACTGTCTTTTCTTACACTTGAGCTCTGTTTTGAATCTCCTGGTGGCATTTGTGGAGGGCCAAAAGTATTCTCC